GAGGTCAGGATAACAGACCTTATGATGAGAGGCTGAGCGCCATGGGACTCTTCAGCCTGGAAAAGTGCAGGTACAATCTGGTGTCCACCTATAAGTTTATTAAGGGTGTTCACCAGGATCTGGGGGAACATCTGTTCACCAGAGCGCCCCAAGGGATGACAAGATCAAATGGTCACAAACTCCTCTGTGACCGTTTCAAGTTGGACATAAGGAAGAACTTCTTTACTGTCCAGGTCCCCATGTTTTGGAATAGACTCCTGCCAGAGGTGCTTCAAGCACCCACTTTAAATACCTTCAAGACAGTTTTGGATGTTTTATCTTACTGGGATCCTATGATCCCTGCTGACTTCCTGCCGCTGGGCAGGGGGCTGGACTCAATGATCCTGCAGGGTCCCTTCCAGCCCAAATGTCTATGATAGCTAAGGCTAGACCAAGGCAGACAATGGGGAGAAGAGTGGTCTATGCACAGGCTGTGGATGGAAATGGAAATGTGAGCTACCCAAGGGAACTGGGAGAGGGAGCCCCAGGACAGTATGGCCTGTGGGCTGCTTTGACAAAGGGAAGAACTTCGTATTCCATTTCTGGAGCAGACAGCTTGTGCCTTTTGGTTTATTGTTTGATTTGTTTTGGGCTTGTGAACTGGAGGAACAAACCATGGCTACAGGGGAAGAGGAAGCCACAAATAGGAAGCCAGGGGTGCCCTCCCCATTTGTTTTGACATGGGAGCTAAAGAAAAAATCCCAAGCTGAGGGGAAGACCCTAGCTCTCAGAGATGGAACTAAAAGAGGCATAGGTTGGCCAACTGAGGCCAGGCCTAAAGCCCAGAAGCTGAGGTCCTTACTAGTGGGCCTAGGCAGGTGTAGCCAGAAAGAAAAAAGGGCCTAGGGCTTTGACAGTGGAACTGCAACAAGCCCTTAGAAAACCTTTGGGGACAGCCCTGTGAAGGGGGGAATCCCTGCATGGGTGTGCACGGGACATGAATAAGGCGATGAGTCTGATGCAGATGTCTAGGTAGCCTGAGCAAGTACTGACGAACCTACAAATTCCTTCCACCTGTCAATATCCAGTAACATCAAAAGTCATGGTGGGCAAGTAATGGAGGCACAGGAGGCCAAGAGAGGGTAGTAGCAGAGCAGCGTGGGCTTGACAGACGGGTTGCACATGCCCCACATAAATGAACTTATTTAACAGTAGGACCTAAATCATATCTACTTTCACTTTATCAAAGGAGTATTGCAAATTCCCCTTCCCTTCCATTCAACCTAAAGCTAAAGGTAATTGCTTGCACTGTGGTAATGCCAAACATCTGAATCATGATCAAGACACCATTGTGCTGGACACTATATATAACACATAGAAGCAAGCAGGATGCCTAGTCTTGAATAGTTAACAATCTAACTTGAAAAAAGTTGCAACAAGTGAATGTAACAGAAGAGAAGAAGAAGAACAAATGTAACTAAAATAGGAGCATACAATGATACAAGTTGCAGTATTTTATGGTTTCAATCCATTTAATTTCTTTAAAAAAAATCAAATCTGCTTTCTGTAACTATTGCAATCTCTAACCATTGAGTGGCCAATTTCCTGAAGATGTCAGAGCAAGGTAGCTTGAAAAGAGTGATTCTAAGTAATTGATTAAGGGAGGGCATAATGTGTGAGAAGCAAGAAGGATGAAATCACAGAAACAACTGTGGAAGAAGCAGGTAAGTATTTCAGTCTGGTATCAGTGAAAGTAGAGGCTGAAGTATATGACACATTAAGAACATATACTTGACGAGCACCAGAAATATAATAAGCTCTTGAAACAGAGGGCAACAAGTTTATATCTGATAACGTGGAAAAATGGGGAAAGAGGAGGTATTCCAAAGATGGTGAACGTGGTCAGAATGATGCACCTAAAAAGATTTTTCATGTTTTATTTTGAAACGTTTGTCCAGGAAAATTGAAGAAATGAAAGAAAAGAAGAGAACTAACTTGTAGTCCATACAGCTACAGGACACTTTGATAAGCAACCTAGGGAAAGTTATGGAGGAAGATCATGTTGGAGATGAGATCAAATATTTGTGAGTTTGTAGAAGGAGGGATTTATGATGACAAAGAAAAGGAGAATGCTGATGGAGAGAATGTATTTATAAAAATAGAGGGAGAGAGTAAAACAAAATGAGAGCAGAAAAGAATCCATAGACACTGATAGACTGAAGTCCCCAAAAGCGGTGGTTAAAAACAACTGGAAGTGGTGCAGGTGAGGTTTGAGGGAACCCAGAGAGTCAGATACATTGCTGAGAAAAATAGAGATGGTAAGAGGCCTTGGTCAAACGTGGGCCGAAAGAAAGAGAAGGAAATGGGATAAATATATATAGGTAAAAAGAAAGAGAGAGAGGAATAGTAACACAATGGAAAAAGAATGAACTACATAAAAGAAACAAGCTGGTGAAAGAAGTACGTAAGAGCAGAAATGTCAGCAAGATGAATATGAAGGAATGAGAGGTGAGAAGAAACTAAGTGGCAATGGATACTTCTACACTAAACAAGGCCAAATTAGACTGTGTCCGTCATTTAGACCATCTGATCATACTTGCTTCTGACAATTTGGAGCCACATCAGATTACTTCACTCTGCGTCCAGTATGCCTAGTGAGACAGACAAAAGAAATGCTGTGCAATGGCTGGACACGGTCAAAGGGAAGGCAGAATGCTGAGAGCCAAATGAGAGGTGTAGAACTGATAAGCTGAGCATCAATAATGCAATAAATCAATCAGTAAACAGGGCACTAAAGCAATTCAGGAGACGATCATACAAGAAAGTAACAAGTTTTGGATTAATGAGCAAGTCAATAGGGTGGATGAAGCAGATAGTTGGCTTGGCCAATGACAGGTGCAGATTAGCAGTTGGACAACAGATGCTCAATGACAAATGCATTAGGAACATAAGCGAAGAAGTTCACAAATGGTCAAACTGTAGTGAGATTGTTAGGGGCCAATATCAATTTACCATCATGCCTTTTGTGTTCTATGTAGGACCAATGACCTCTCAAAGGATTACGGAGCACAGCACTGGATATGTAGACAATATAATCATCTTCAATCTAGACTGGGAAAGCCATAAGGGATATTCTGATAAGGTGATCACTGAATTACAAAGGGCAGATTTCACTATAAATTAGAAGTAATATGCTAAGGCATGAAATAACTGGGCATCTTAGATATGTATCAAGATATGGAAAGATCAAATCAAAGAAACTTAGGTTGAAATAGTTTTAATACCTCTAATGCCTAAACCTAAGGGAGCAGGGAAGGAGGAAAAAAAATACGGGCACAACAGATTACTGTCATGCACCAAATTTTGCAATAAAATGGCCTGTCTAGTATGGCTCAAAATAATGACCCACAGAAAGACTGCAGTCTAGTCTCCAGAGTGTGATAAGGGTTTAATGTACCACAGTTAAAAATGCACAGGTTTGAAAAGTCCAGATTTTACTATACCATTTATCATACAAATAAATACCTCAGAAGTGCATTTAAGTCAAGTGAAATCTGTATAGTAGGAACCTGATTACAAAGGAATCTCTGCCTGAAACTCCACTAAAAGAAACCTTAATTAGGTGTTCAAAGTTGAATATTCTGAGTTGTTTGTGTTTAAAATGTGTGACTTCATTTTCCTTGGTACACCAATAAATAATCTTTGTGAACTATCTCTACTGTGCTCTGCTAGTCTCTTCTCCACTAACTGCATTCCCTTATGCCAAAGTGAGATAACAAATGGTTAATACTTGAAAAACAAATAAACTAACAAAAACAACTGGTGTACCAATGGTATCTACTACCAATTTTATCTACTTCTGCAATATATGGATTTTCAATACACAAAAATGTACAGGATTTAGATATTCTTGGATCTTAGATTCTTGAATAATGCAATTCAAAGGCATAATTGATGTAGTTACACACAAATCTGTAGTTGATATTTCATTTAAACCCATTTCCAATACCTTTGCCTCACCAAGACTGTATTTGAAATAAATTAATCTCTACTTTAAAAAAGATACACCTCTCTAAAAAACACTGCTGAAGATACCTCTTCAAGATGAAGTGTTCCTACTTTTAAGAAACTATCGATTTTAAATTAATTACTTTCTTCCAAATTTTATTGTAATATTGTTCTGATAATACAGATAGAAGATTCCTTAACTAGAAATTTCTAACTAGATGACTTTTAAGCACTTTTTTGCAGAAGTCAGTTTATGACAGCATATTGATTAACCAACTGTCAAGTCCTACATAATGAAGAACCCGAAGTACAGAAATTTAGAATGTTAGCATATACCTTTTTAAATAAAAAACTCTAAATAGAATATTAAAATATACTTTAAATAAAAGAAAGTTCCCTATTAACTAGACTTTTTTCCAATCCAAATTAATTAGAATCACAGTTAATATATTCTTTTTGGAATATAATATCTAATTCAACCTACATCAAAAATTAATTTATCAGTCTTTTTCAGGGATTTGGTATGTGTTTGACAAAAATATTATCCTCTTTGCAAACACATTTGCTTAAATAATCATTTTCAAAATGACTTTGACCACATTATTGAAAATGACTAATCAACTATTATAACAACAATTTAAAAGGTCTTGAAAGACAAATACTGGATACAGGTTTATCAGCAACGAGGCAAAAATTAATAGGCTTAGCTATGACATAAACAATCTTCTCTGAATCGATTTTCAAGTAATTCCAAAGAAAATATGAATAGTGCAGTTTCAAATATCCTGCTAAATTAAAAAGCATGCTACAAAACATAAAAGCAAACTCTTTTTTAAAATAGTCACAGTCGATAGTAGAACTAATTGAAAACCTATAAATTTAGTACAGTGCAGCATGTAGTCTCTATCTTACTCTGCCTATACATCAATAGGTCATTCTCAGTTAATTAAGAGAAGGCGTAATCAGCTTAATTTATGTAGTTCAGAGCAGTTAATGATATCTTAGTACAGTACCTGACGTTTGGCCTGCCCATATAACTTGCTGGATGTGCCCAGTTCATTCTGCAGCTGTCCAAGTTTAACTCTCCATTTTTCTAGCTCAGATTTCATTTTACACTGCTCAGTCTGAAGCTGGTAAATCAGATGTTCCCAAGCTTGGAGCTGAAAAGACAGAAAAATTAAATTAACAGGTTAACAAAACAATGATGTCGGCCCTTTACTTATATCGTATATATGACAAAAAAAAAAAAAAAAATCAAGAAGCCGTACCATATATTATCACCAATTTCCAGATGAACGACTGATATCAGTATTTTTTAAAAACGTAGTACTACACACAAAGAAATAATGCTAGACTGAATGCCAGACTGGAGGACTGCAAAACACACAGTAGTTTTCCCATAGTAACATAATGACATGTGGCCACAAAAAAGTAAGAATTTTGTAAGTAAGAAAAATGGCATCCAGTTACAAATTAGGCTTTGTTTCAATACCATATGTTGTTTGGTACCTCAGCCAGAAGACTGTCTTTTTTCTGTGTCAGAGAAAATGTTTCCTTCTGCTGTCTCTGTAGCTCATCTTCTCTTTTCTGAAGCTGCAAGTTTACACACAAAGACAAACCACAATGTCAACCAATTGGACCTCACTTAAGGAACCTAGGAGATCGATTTGTAAAGCAAAGGATGAACAGGACCCCATTTCTGAAGTACGTTGCTCAAACTGCTCTTTCATTAAAAGATGCTCTCTCTTATTGATTTTGGCTTAAGTAATGAGAAAGCTTATCCAAAAATCTTTAGCATTTGGGCTCAAGTTAAGGAAATCAATAGAGTCATTTCCCATTTGAACTGCATATGTGAGTTTTATGTACGAGAGACAAGACAAAGCCCAAATCGGATAAATCAATAACGTTGTCAATAGAACATGAAGCTGACAAATGGCGTTTTTAAGCAATTAAAGTGAGCTGTAAACATTCAGAGGCTAATCAATTACAATGTTTTGCTATTAACAGTTTTTAATTTATACAAACCTTTTATTGGGAACTGAATCCTGGGAAATAGAGAGAACTGAGCATTCATCCTGCTACTGTTAAAAGATTACAATAACATTTTTTCTTGCATAAATATACATTTTCCTATGCTTTCATTTGAATAAGAAATATTAACTACTCAAGTAATTCCTATATTATCTACATACATAATATAGACAATGAGCCATAAATCAGTCCCATGTTGTATTCTTCCATCCCAATCCAGGAGGCAAGGCTACAAGTAGTATAAATCCAACCTGTAGACCAAGACACTGGCACCTCTGCTCTTTCAAGGGACACTAAAAATCCCAGTGCAGTTATTAAAGTTTAAGATGTTGTTTGAGAAGATAAAGACTAGGGCACATCAGATATCTATTAATTCAGCGTATCTTTTGTGTAGATTTTACTACTATAGTCCAAAGGAGGCTTGGCCACACTTTAAAACTGTCCTCTTCCAAAAAAAGCTGAACAGGGCATTGATTCCCACATATTGCCTTCCCCCTTGTACCCCTTCAATCAAATCATGAACCTAACTCTGTATGCAATTAAGTAAAGCCACCTCCTCATAAATTAAGTCAACTTCTCCCTTGTTCTCAGCACACTGCTTTAGCTGGCAGTACACCAGATCAGGGAATTAGAATCAGATGTACCACAGAATCAGATGTACCCCCAATGTTAGGCCTGGCTACTTATACAGCTATACACTAAGAGTGACTGGAAGGGAGGCTTTTGTTTGTGGTCAGCTTTTCCTGGATAGTTATACAGCAGCCACAATCTGGTCAGTATATAGTCAGTAAATATGCTGTTAGGATATCAATGAAAGTATTCTTGCATAGATGTGGATCTATTTTTATTTTGGACTTTTACTGTAGGAATACCAGTTGTTATTTGTCAATCTACTTGTAGCCTTGCCTCTGGATTGGGATGGAAGAATACAACGTGGGACTGATTTATGGCTCATTGTCTATATTGTTCATGTAGATAAGATCTGATCAGATGGGTGGCAAATTGGCTAGACAGTCGCACCCAGAGAGTGGTGGTGGATGGGTTGTTTTCGACCTGGAGGGATGTGGGCAGTGGAGTCCCCCAGGGCTTGGTCCTGGGGCCTGTACTGTTCAATATCTTTATCAACGATCTGGATGTGGGTGTGGAATGCATGCTGTCCAAATTCACTGACAACACTAAGTTGTGGGGCGAGGTGAGCACACTGGAGGGGAGGGACAAAATCCAGATAGATCTAGACAAATTACAGAGGTAGGCAGATGAACATGAGCCGCCAGTGGGAGGAAGTGGTTTTGTTCCCATGGATAGCTTAGCCTACTTCTCAATGTCTAAATACATCTAAAACTCTGCAGTCAAGCATATCTGTGCATCAAACAATGACTTTTTCTGATTTTTTATTGGCTATCTTCTGTATTAAAACAGGTGAAAGAAAGCTGGATTATGCAATATGCTTTTCATCCAACTGCAGAAGTAGGTGTAATCTCTTGACCAGCTGACTGCAATTCATTTTATAACATATTCTGGAAGGCAAAGTATTATTTCAGAGGTAAACTGAAACGACAACTGTATCTTCAAAACTCCCAAAGACAGGAAAAGTTGTTGAAAACTAGACCAGTAGGAAAGGGGTGATCATGCTGGCCTTTACAGGACATGAAGCATGACATGATGAAGAACACAGATAAAGTTATACAAATTGCAAGTCAGCTGAGATGCTGACTTGCTTAAGTGTCCCATGAAGAATATTTTAGCCAAAGAAAAGTATTCCATAAGAGAAACCTGGATCCACCAAATTCAAGAGACAGCTCTGCTATACATTTTTAGATGAAAGAAGTTGCTCATAATTTTTATATTTTAGACAGAAAAAAGTTAAAGGTAGAATTTAAAAAAGAAAAGTAAACCTTATTTGTCTCTTGACAGATAACACAAGAAGAATAGCACAAGTGTATAAGAATTTCAGGGAGTAAATGAAAACATTGAGTGATACTTGTCAGGTAGCTTTCCTGGCATAGAACTGGCAAACAATTAGAGAGGGAAATCAGAAAACCAAACTGGATTAATTCATGCAATGGGAAGCCTGAACTAGGAAACAGTTTTTAAGATGTCTTTCATTTGCTATTTGTACAGCACCCAGCACAAGAGGCTCTTCATCCTGATCCGTGACTGGGTATCCTAGCCTCCTACCAGGAAAAAGAAATAAATAAATACAAAGATGTGAAAAGGCTCCTTAGGTCTGCCTAGAGATGAGATACTAAGAAACAGATGAAAAGGGTTGAAACAGTTAGTAGCTGTGGACTAAATTCCAGGGTTATGTGATTTTATCCATATTAACTTAAAATTCCACAATAGAAAAAGTAAATGCCAAAATAAGATAGAAAAAGTGAAGCTCTTAATTCTCCATGATACCTTGGTTAGCATTCAGTCAACTTGTCAATGCCACTTTTTCTCCCTGGGTTCATAAGTGGGTAGGAAGTAGGAGTGGTAAACAGTTAAGCATTGAAGGTGAGGAAGGGTTGGGAAGAAGAAGGCATGAAAGGTGGAATGAGGTAGCTGAAAGGCAAAAAAATACTTAGATGGAAAGAAAAGGGGCACTGATGGAGAGGGAGGGAGAAAGAAATATTAGTGGGAAGGGGTCTGAAAACAACAGGAAGAAAAGGGGAGAGCAGATAGGAGATAAAAATTAATGAGAGGACAAATTGTGGTATGCCTGTGCAGGAGTAGGAAAAGGACTAGTATTTAAGGGGAGAGAGAATAAAGTACAATAATACAGAGAAGGTGAACAGGCTGAAACTACTCCAAGACCACGTCTACATGAGACACTGACTGTGCAGTTGTTAATGCGCAGTCATTTAGTATTTGCATACACAAGTACTAAATGACTGCACAGTAATTGGAGTTACTATGCAGTAGTGTCCCCGAACAGCTTCATGGTTACACTGACTCTGCAGTAGGTCACTACTACTGAACAGTAGTGTCACATCATGCCTCCTGCCACGCAATGCTACTGTGCAGTAGTAACGAGCTACTGCACAGTCAGCGTCTTGTGTAGACACCACCAGAATGTAGGTAAGAAGAGCATTTAACCCTTAAATGTGGGGATGGAACAGATCAGATGATGACGTGAGGGAAGAAGGAAGCAAACTCTTGAGACAAAACAACATAAACCTGGCCTTAAGAAGCCATCAGACAGCAGGCTGAATTTTGCTCTTTTCCTGGTCAACTGAAGTTTTCATTTCCAAAACGGTTAATGAAAACTTCTTAATTGACCAAAAAAAAGAAAAATTCAGCTTGCTGCCTGCTACATACTTGGTTCAAGCTTAATTTGCATATTCACAGCTTAACTTTGTCACAAATGACTTTTCCTGCCCAGGAGAAACATACCATCTCAGTTCTCCTGTGAGATATGAAACAACTTTACAAAAAAGAAGCCAAATACAGCATTCTGCATGCCATCGGAGACGTTTAAGAGCATGTTTCTGCCTTTGTTTGAGCCTAATTTTCACACTTGCAGAACAACATTTCCAACCAGGAGACCCATAACTTCATTCTGTTCTCCTGTACAATATGAAGTTTTGTTTCTACCTGGAAGAAACTTTCCAAACTTTGACTTCTCCTTTACCTGAAGAAGGTGTTTGAGCCCGAAACCTTGCAAATAAAAAAAAAAAATTGCAACTTTCTAACTGGTCTAAAAAAAGATATCACCCTCTTCCTCAAGAGTTTTGGATGCCTGGTACTGTTTTTGTCTCATTTAATACCAGTAGGGGCTACCAAATGTTATTTTTTAAATTATATTTTGGAGAGTTTAAAGCTTAGTGTAGATACCTCTTTTGTACTGTTAAATACAATTATTTCAAAAAACTTGGCTGCTTGCAACTTTTAGACACAGGTTTAGCAGCAAACTCAGTGTCACAGAGATTATATGATTGGATTTCAGGGATGTGAGTTAGCTGGCTTCAAAGCTATTATACAATAGTCTTTGATGACCAGTCCACAATGCAGAGCTATCAAGTTATGGATGTGTACCTGCAGGCTTTTAAGAGCATGTATTCAAAATTAGAAATTCCATCTGGATCATTCCCTTAAAATATGAAATAATATTACAGGTTTGGCTCAAATGAACAAAAGCAATGACATTCAGAATTACAGAAATTCACAGTAATTCTTTGGCAGTTTTAAAGAATTTATTACTAGCCTACTATGAATACTAGTGCATGTAAACTTTTAAGATGTGTGCATGTTAGGGTAAACGATGCCTCAAATGCTTATACAACTGGGTATGTCAAACTTTTTATTCCATCTGTATTGTTATTGATCATTTCTACATCAGCATAAACTTTCACTAAAGTTTATTGTTTGCTGTTTCTCAGCACAACTAATTAGTGTGGGTGGGACTCTATACTTACATAGTTAATCTGCTTCTAGTACCATGCTGGCATGTTCAAAGCTAGCTCAGAGGTCCCTGGCACTACACTATTCCATGTAGATAATACTCTAAAAGTCCTCAATCAAAGAACACAAGTAGAGATAGAGAGCAACACAAACTGGTGGGGGAGTGGGGGAAGGGAAACACTTGAACACTTCATATAAAAAAAGATTTTGCTTTGTTGCTTGCTGAAATTGGAGTTAATAAGAGCATAATGAATATTATTGAGAGAACATACACTTGTTTTCTACAGTGTGTCTTCCCAAACATGCCACCATACATTTCATTTAAGTATTTATTCCATTCTTGGATATACCAGAGAAAATCATAAATAAATGTGGAGTAACATAGACACTTAAAACATCCACCATGTTTAACACTTCTGAGGTAGAAGCCCCTCACTGCTACTCTTCCATTGGTTTTTGGCACCAACAAGCCATAAAACAGTTAATAGGGTCCCTCTAGTATTATCATGTCCTATTCATAACCAAAGATAAAATTGCAAATTCTTTCATAAAAATAAAATAAAATATGTGATTAAAATTAAAGGCTCTCCACAGCCCTCCCCCCCCCAGGACCTTCTCATGCCTCTCAGTCCCCCCCTGCGAAGAGCCTTCCTGGTGCCCCTTGCCTGGGGCACCAGGAAGGCTCCCACCGCCCATTCCCTCAACCCTGCAGGAGAAAGCCACCAGGTGGGGATTTGGGTCCCCAGCCCCCTGTCCCTGCTTCATCCTGCTGCCTGCTGCAGGGAGCTCATTGCAAAATGGCAAAATCCACATGTTTTTCTAGTAAAATGAGAAATCTGTGTCTGCCTCCAGTTAAAGGTAAAATCCATGGTTTACTCCATTTTTCAGTGGGAAACGGAAAACCTAGATTCCTGTGCATAAAATGCATGGCTGTAGTCTGTATAATATGCAAAGGCCTCATGGCCTCACTACTTATTTGGTATCAACTTTCAGCACTATTCCTTCATAATAAGTGCTGATCATTTGAATAAGTCCCCCCATTCTCAGCTCTCCAAGATGGGGGATAGATGCATGCTTTTAGGTTAGGGACAGACATTACACATAAACCAGTTTAAGTGATCAGAAACTGGTTTAGACCTGTAACAGAACAGATATTCAGCACACATAAACCAGCTTTAAAACAGCTGAAACTGGTTTGCGATAAACCTAGTTGACTGTAGTACCAGACTTAACTGATTTGGGTTTATGCAATGTCCATCCCAAACCCCTTGCTAGTTTAAGATAAACCAGACTCCCCTAGCATCCCAGAATGCTTTCTGGGCTGGGAGGAGCTCTCTGCTCCACAGAAGAACTGGCCTCTCTCCTTTGCTCCCCCACTGGAGCTCAGGCAGAGACTGCAGGCACAGCAGGGTCTTTCTGGCTTCTCCCTGCCCTATTCCCAACTTGCTGCTCACTGTTTAAGCAGGAATCCCCCCTTCTCACTTCCCATCCAGCCACATGGATCCTAGGCATGTGGTATGCTAGCTAATGCCAAGAGGTGTCTGGGTGTGTTTTCAATTTCACTGGGACAGGCAGACAGAACAGTGACCTCTTACAGCTTTTTGGAGCTAATCAATAGGTCAGCTGGTAAGCTGTTTAAGAACAGTTTGAACTAATGGAGAGAGGCTATTATTTTGCTGATGGGGTATTATCATCCCCTTGATGGCTTGTCTGCCTGTCAGTTTGCTGCAGACAGTATAAAGAAGCAAAGAGACTGACAAGCTCTGTATCATCAACAGGTTCATGTACTGCACCTCTCCTCTCCACCCCCTTGCTTCAGAGTGCTAGCAAGGGGGTGGGGGCTGGCAACACCTCTTGCCCCTTGAGCAGCCAGTGGGGAAAAACCTGGGATGGTGCAGGCAGACCTCCCTAACCAGACATCCTGCCCCCCTCACCTCAGCACTGTGTAAGGGAAGGGAGGGCTGCTCTGGCACCCTCTGGCTTCTAGCCTGAGCCACTGCAGGCATGTGCCTGAAATTCCTCAGTCCAGAGGTGTCTTTCCAGTTGCAAACCACTTTAGCCTAGCCAGGTTAGACTGACCTGCAAAGATTTAATCAATTTAGGCTCAGGCTTTTTGAATGTCTGTCCCTAGCCCTGAAAAAAGAAATAGAAGAGATAGCTGGGGTATTTCTGGTGTACAAGACACAAGAACTCGACAGCTATACTTTCCTTTCCCTTCTTTTCCATCCAAGAGTAGGAATAGTGTGGAAAGACAGAGTTCTTAACCTAGACCTCCTAGACTGGACTGGTCCATAGTCTGGGAGATTTTTCATTCGTTCATGTTTTCACTTATATTACTTGCTTTATGTTTATATTCCCTCCTGCTGAAGAAAGGTTACTGCCTGTTGCTGTGCTTTGTTTCTGTTCCCTCATTCTACCAGCTTACATGCACTTCAGGAGTACTTGTAATTACAATATCAAGAAGAGTCTTACTGAGCAAAATCCCAACATATTTACTTAGTAATTCATATGATGCATAAAGCCATAGTAGCCAGGTACAATTTACAATCTCAAAATATTAATTGGATGAACAATCCACAAAGGATAATGTGTCAGATAAAGCAATCACAGCTGCCACCAGAAATACTGACAGTCATGCTCCAAAATAAAAAGAACCCCCTAAAAGCTGTGCAAGACGGATTGACCAGACGATGAACCCGGCCAGGTGGGGGAAATTAAACACCTAAGGCAAGCTTAAGTGATTAGCCCACCAAAACCAACATAAAAGAGCGGTGAAGCAGAAACTGATTGCCTTCGGGCGCCACTGAGAGAGAGAGAGAGAGAGAGTGGAGAGCTGCGAAAGAAACCCTCTCAGAGAGAAGGACCTGAGAAGAGGGACACCAACGCGGGATCAACGGGAGCAGAGGGATCCCAGAACACAGATTCTCACCTCAACTTACCTTGAGTCCACGAGATCTGTGGTGAGTGCGGGGAGAACTGGAGCTGTGCTGCAGGTGGGAACTGCGGCCGGCATCAAAGAACAGAAAGTTTATGGCAGGTCAAGGGGGTAGCAGGAAGGACGACCCCTGCTTAGACTCTGAAGAGTCTGGGTGGCTTCAGGATCCCGAGGGGAGAGGGACGCCGAGAGCTGGGAAGGCAAGTCCTGATCATGGGAGAGCCGTGGAGTCTGCACACTGGCTCTGTAAGATACAGACACAGGTGGCGTATGTAATAAGCTGCCAATAGGACAATTTGTAGTGAGAAGCTCCCAGCGGGAGCAGAACAAAAGAAAACTTTCCTTTTTTCCTTTCTTTTTTCTTTACTTGGATTCTGAGAAGTGGGTTAGGACTCAGGCAGGACTGAGAAGCCCAGAGATCCCTTTGGTAGGGCAGAGGACACAGAAGGGACCCCTGTAGACACTGATTATTCTGCACCACATCAAACGGGTGAAGCACATGGTTGCATGTACCGTCTCTGGAGAGGGGCTGGGGGATTCTCAACAGAATAAGAGTGGACTCCAGGGAAGATCCTGGCAAGCTGCTACCTCCCAGTTAGTTGCCTGTAAAAATAAGAGAAAAATAAAAAGCACTAAGATTATAAAGCAGACCGAGCGTGGTCCTTCGAAGGGTACTAATTATCATATCACCACTTTCCTCCCCATTTGCTTAACAAGATTGAAGTCGTGGCAGGCAGCAACCAGGGGAGTCCACAGTACCCTAGACAGGCACGCTAACAAGCTGAACCAAATGAATGTACCTTTTGCAGTCCCCTGAAAACAACCAAATTTAAAGTATGGTGGACTGCCAAAGAGCACAAGTTCCAAAAGCTTGGTTCCCTTACTGAAAAAGTTTAGAAAAACATTCTCCAGAAATTGGCAACAAATGCATATCTTAACTACCCCACTGTTGCATAACACAGAGGGTCATGTCTCACTAAAAACAGGTATGAAACAAGTCATGGCTTAAAGAATATCAAGACTAGTTTGGGGTGTATTTAGTCCCAAAAAGAGAGTATTTCTGCATTCCCCTGTAATTCAACCCATTGAGTGCATGCTGCCAATCATTTCTGGTGTAAAGTGAACATACCTTCTGGTTAGATAAAGTAGGCTTCACCTCCACATATTGCTCTTAATTCTGCTGGCCAGAAATGTCCATTTTATGTACTTTGAAACATGCCAGTTCAGATAGTTATCCAGTGTTTTACCACGTTAGTTTACAGGGATTGAAGAATATGGTCTGAAAGAAAAGGAAAGAGAACACTGAACATCTTTGATGTACTAATATTATAATCTGTATTGTTTCACAGTCTCTTTTAATGTCTTTACATGCACCGAACATTGAACAAGAGTGGAATCCAGATGCAGAATTCACTCAGAGGCCTTGCAGTCTCCCATTGTGACTGTGACAAACACAGATGTATATCATCATATTTCACTCTCTGGTCTCATAAGCTGACATCCAATTCATGTCCAAGGAGGATCCAAGTACTGCTTTCCCCTTCATTCCGTGGTTCAGTGTTAGTTAAGCAATAGCTTATTCTCCATCACTGTAGCCTCCACTAGTTATAGGATCCTGGGAATCATGCTTGTATTGTGATGTAAAATAGGCCCTACCAGACGTTACATTTAAGATGCGATTAGCCAGTAGTAGCCCAACCACACATTCATTTAATGCAGTGATAAAACAGTCACCAGACACCCAGTCATGGACACATTCCCATACCCTCCCAAAAGCATCTTGTCCCCCTTCAAGTTAGTTGGGTCTCCCGATATAATGGTAATTTCAGAGCCAGTATCTAATAGTCCTATGAAAGTTTGAACTCCTCCAGCTGGCCATTCCACCATCACTTGGGTATATGGCCTTCGGTCCCCTGGCCAGGGGAGGCCCATCGTGTCATTGTGGCTGGGGAGTATGAGGCTGCTTCAAGTCCAGGTATAACGGCTGGGGCTGAGGGTTGGACTCCCTCCATAGAGGCTTTCTGTTTACTCAGAAGCTGATACTTCTGCACCAAAACCTTCA